AAAATTGTATCTCTAGTATGATTTTTTATTAAAATTAAGCTTGAAAAGCTTTTTATTCTTCTTCTAAAAGAACTTTAGTAAAACCGAATTTGCTAACAGATAATGTTTTTCCTCTTTAGGAAGCTTCTGCTACACCAGGAGACATTTTGGAGCAGCAGCGATGGACATTAGTGGTTATCTGACAAAAATTTAGACCTTATGAGCTCAACGAATTTATTGTTGTTCGACGATTTCTATAATATTTCCTCATTTGTTAAAATTCTCGTATTTCTGAAGTTGAGTTCCAAAGTAGCAATGTGTCAAATCTGCTAAACAAGATGAGTTTGTCTATATTCCAAAAAAGTGCAGCTGATTTCGTACTCAAACAATGAGATTCCAAAATATTTTTTTTTCGACAATTGGTTATCGGTCTGTGGGTTTTCTTCTAAGCTTGCTTCGATAACAAACTGCAATAAGGGAACTCATAGCCCAGTATAATAAAGCACTAAACATGTTTTCAACGCTTTTTTGAATATTCTCCAAAGCCGATCTAATAGTGATGTAGAGTACTAAAATATACTAACTTATGTTTTTAATTTCTTGCCTGAGAAAATTAAGAAATTCTAAATGCACTAAAACACATTTTCACTTAATGCATTTGCTACGCATAACTGGTCCGGTGAGACGCAATAATTTGTGGCAGCTACTCGATAGCGGCTCGATATTTCAAACAGCGCTTAGCGAACACGAACAGCAATTCAATCATGGAGCTAATATATTTTCAAGCACACTTACATACTACTATGTATGCAGTGCCGAACAGGTATGCCACAGGTGAGTTGGTCATTGTTGTTGTTGCTGTTCTGTTTTCGCTCCATTGTTGCCACCGTCAAATTGTGGCGTGCCGACTGACCTGTTTGCTACGCCTTACTTTTTACGATTTTTATTAGCGCTGAGATTTTAGCTATACATAGAGAACTGTGTTACGGTTATTGTTCTCGTTGTTGCTGTTGCTGAGTTCAATTCCATGTTGGGCTGCCAGACAAGCTGTAATTCACATATGTACATATGTATATATATTTATATTTATGTGTGCGTTGTGTGTTTGTGCATGCAAATCTTATACTTTTAGATGAATATGTGTGAGTGTGTGAGTGCGCTTATATTCACCTAAACGTACATATCTACACATGTAGTCATAGGTGTTGACCGATCGTTTCACACGCGTCGCTACAAAGTGTAGCACGCCGCATATTGTGCCTCAATAACTTGTTGGCTGCTGTAAGCTGAGCTAAATTCAAGTAAAATTGCGCCAGTCGCGGTCAGCGTGTTACACACACATATCTTTTTTTGAAATTTGTTTGCTATCACAAAAACGCGCTGTAATAGAGGCAATGGAAAACGGTGCAAACGAAATTAGTGCGAGTTGAGATGCCAGTGGAGTAGTGGGTAGCCAGAAACATACGCTCAAACATATGCATATATATGTATATACATACGCATACACAGCGGCTTATATTGTCCGCGTTTTCTTTTTGCTTTTCTCACCTTCAAACTGGTTTTTGTTGCAAAGCAACATATGCATAGCAATTGAGCTGTATGTGCGCGTGTGTGTGTATGCTGTTTCCTCACCTTCTATTTGCCTTTTTACTATGAGTTATTGCTGCCGTGATCTTATGCGTTTCTTTTGGCGCTTGCCCATTTGCCTCACTATCAAATTGCTTACGTGCCACGCACACATCTATGTGTGTGTATGTATTGTAGATATTATATATTGTTCACCAAATTCACCAGCTGCGCTTTCTGCGCCTTCATTTTGATCTACCGACTCCTATGCGTATTTATTTGTTGTTATATTGCATTCTCAGCTTAGTAATAGCCAAAAACACTCTCACATATTCACAGCCTTACATGTGATCGGCTACTTAATACCGTATAGGTGTGTGTGTTTGCATGTGTGTATGCATATTCCGCTCGTAAATCTCTTTTGTAGTTAAATACTGCTGACCCAGTTCAAATTGCTTTGATTTATATGAATTGTATATAGTTTCTAATTCGTTTTTCAAAGCGCGCTTAAAGCAGTGTTTGTTGTTATATTTGTATATACACATATGTAGGCAAATGCATGTGTGTCTGTAAAACTTGAATTAATCGTTTAGAATTACGTTAGCGCATGCTTTGGAATTTTTTTAAGTTAAAGCTTATTATACTTTTTTATACTTAATTTCTTCTATACTTTAATTTTTATGGCTTTCACAGATTCAGTTATTCAAAGAATTATATTTTTTATGGCGCAATTTCTTTTGTACGAAGACAGTGAGGAAAGTAGAACTATTCTAATGAAATATCTGCATACTCATATGAATATGTGGCATCATTGTAAAAGCCATCAATAAAGTTATGTGAGTGGCACATACAAAAATATTTGTCTTGTGTGTTTTGAGCTTAAAGAATATATATATACTGTGCATATTTTTTGTTTTAAATAAATATTATTTAGCACAAAATTTAATTTCTTAGAGATTTCTAGCAAACCCCACAGTATATTTTAATATATTTAACTTTTTTAATTGGTTTCAATGTTAGCTTCAACTCATGGCTTTGTAGGAGTTTTTGTGACTACTGTTTCAAAATATTATACAGTCTTCAATACCTTTACTTCTAATGGTATTTTAACCAAGTTTTTTACATCTAGTACATTTTTTAGTAATTCCACGCTAGTGCCCGGTTCTTTCAACATACATAAGGTATCGTTTTTTTTAGTTATTAATCCACGCTGGATCGATCTAAGCTTTAAATGACCAAGTATGAGCTGGCGTTGATAAGTGCAAAGCGCTCTTTCGAAAATTCGATATACAACTATTTAACTATTGAATCACTTCATTAACACAGCAAGCCTTGAAATTCTGCGGTAATTATAAATCGGAGAAAAAAACACATATTCAATAGATAGAATGGCCCTTTGCGGCTACATATCAGCTGTGAGCAGATATTACGTATGTATAAGTATAGGCTTATAAGCATTAATTTATGTATGTAAAACCAATTACATGCTTACAAGTGTAACTAATGGCTATATCTACTATAATTTAGGGAAAACTCACTTTAAAACTTAAATAGCCGTTTTCTTAGTTGCTTTTTAAGCCTTAAGCAGTTCTTAATAGCGCTAATGAGCCTCAAATTACGCGTGAAGTAAGTTCATATACAGGGTATGTGAGACTTTTTCACACAGATCTATGGAAAATATATTTAATAAATATTAACATTCATGTATAGGTGTTTTAAATTTCCTATTTTCAGAAGAAAATTTAGTGTCATAATGCCATGCTAAGGGGCTTTGCATATGCTTTAATGAATTTAACAACAATCAGTCCATCAATTTCTGAAAGTGTATACATATTTTTATACGAATATATATTGAATTGAAAATATGTTTCCGGCTTTGAATACTTCTGAAAATAGTAGTAGAATGATTAATTGCTATAGATTGAAGAACTTTCATATTTTGTTCAAATTTAGTCTACGAATTAGTCAACTTTTAAGAAATTTGGCCATATTTTCATTAGAAAATATTCAACTAACATTTTCTTTACCATCTGTACATGTACACATCAGCGTTTACGCGCGCACCCTGTTTGTAAAGACATTCCAATTTATTTGGTAACGCATAGATATATAATGATTGTTACCACTTTTGTTACTTTAACCGCGCATAATATAATAATTAACTTCTTAATTTCTACAAATTACTTAATTCAACTACAGCCAAAACTTGGTGTTTAATATTTTTCTAACATATGTGTCGATACATGAGTGCACATAGTACAGCATATATTCAATATAAGTTTTAAGCAGTTTATAACTAGGCACAGTTTTGAAATAAGCTCCTCAACTAGCCACGAACCTATTTTTCAATTCAATCTAACCTCAAAATATTACTATTATAAGTGCTTGCAAGTCAGCTATACTATACTATAGCTATACATGTAGTAGATATGTAATGAGTTATAGTAGATATGTGAGCGCTGGAATTCGTTTCAGCACGGTCAATATCTAGTCCCCTAATGCAAACAAAAACATCTTATAATTAGGTGAAAATCATGTTTTTTAAAATTCTAAAAAAATTCAAAAACGTACAATTTTCCACATATTTACTTCTGCTGCGGTGTAACGCTTCCGCTCATAATTTTATATTGCAGGTTTTTTATGCCACGCCGTTGTTTAGTTTTTTCTTTCGATTAGTGATTTCTTTGCCTTCTGCTTTTCGATTTTGCGGTTTAATCTTGAAAAATTACAACATACACAGCTTCCATAGCCACTGCATAGAGTTTAATATGATGTTGTATGTACAACAACATGGTTCATGTTGCTCTTTTTACCGCGCGCGTTGCCAAGTTCAAGGTGTTGTTGCGTTTATGATCAGCTCAATTTTTCATTCTTTTCTTCTTCGATTTATTTTTGGCTCGTTGTGGCTAATTTGTGGTTTGAAAATTTGATTTTCGTGCAACTAATTGAGTTGCCTCGTTGCTGTGTGTTTACATAGAATAAGTCGGTTTGGTTTATATTTATGCTGGCACCTCAGCCGACACTTTTATATGGGTTAAGCATCAAAAAAAAATATATATATAAAAACCTGTAGATATAAGCATGTGTTTCTAAAAAATAAAATTAGGCTCTTTTATATGTTTGATTCCATGAACTGTTTGAGCTATCTACTGTAAAGGTCACTATTTTAACTTTTTTACGAAAAAATGGAAGAACAGTTTCTAAGGCAAGTTTGTTGAAGGAAATGGTATGGGAATTCTAAACTCTTGAGTAGCTAATTTATCAAGCGTGTTTTTAGCCTTCAGTACAGCATTTCAAAAACAAGAAATTTTCACTCGATTTCGTAGCTTTTACTTCTTGTCGATTTAGTCGTTGGAAGAAATAGTTCATAAAGAGGGCTTCGACAGCTTGTGTAGTCATCTGATTGCGAGATGCTGCACCACAACTCCGTGTGCTTAACAATACAATACATTTACTTACAGTTTTTTTACATTTTTCGTAAAACTTTTTACAATTTTTATACAGTTAATTAAGCGACTATTACAGATTTACTTTACAAAAGACATTTTAAATTTTCAACATAGAATTTTTCGTCCCGTATTAATACAGAGTTTCAAACTGCGGCAGTCACTAGTTTTTGAAACACCATAGATGAAATGGTTATGAAATCATCAATGGTTTTTTAAAAAGCAATAACTGGCGAATTTCTCAGCCAAACTGTATACATACATTTGACGAAAATTGTGTTCAAACTTTGATTGCAGCGCAAATTACTGTTGACAATAACTGTAAAAGTTGCGAAACCGCTAAAACATCCACAATACACTTCACTGTTAGTCAATTACTTAGTGACGCCAGCATCTCGCTTCTATCCGAAGACAATTACATTCCACCGGCTTCAATGCTGTCACTTTATCTTTCAAGCAGTCCGAGAAACTCGGGTAAGGTGTGCATTTTCTGGGTCCACAATCAATTCTCTTGAGATGACAGTCTGGTGGTTCGCGCGCGGGCTTACAGCCGGGCCAAACGAGCTTTGGACAACGTTTCGACAAATGATTGCGGCAGATCAGTGTTAAACGGCATGTCTGCATATCGTCACATAGCGGAATAGCTCGACGTGGTTTCCGACGCTTTGGCGGCTTATATTTAGTTTGCTGGTGGCAACATATCGCCTTTGGCGCCACACGAAACCTCGTACATTCGGCCCATGTGCGTTGATATTTCTTATTCAAATTATCGCCCGGCATGTAGTAGAGATCATCGAAACGCGGATGAGCCCACTTGCAGAGCGCGGTACAACACTTTTCCACATCTAAGGCCCACGTGCGTTGCGGTCTACAAGATTTCAATGACATCATCTTCACACCGCAAATGGGATACGGCTTCGCGCAGTTTGTGCGATAATATATAGCTTTCGTATTCCGTTTGCGGTATGGCTCTCTCTGTGGCGGACATTTTGATTCTTTGGCTTGCACCTTATTCGATTCGCCACGCACGATGTCGAAGAAGGTATTTGTTATCTCGTTGGTTACATTTTTGCTTCGAACCGTTGCCATAAGAGTTTTGGCTAGTCTTTTGAGAAACGACATTACGCTGAAACGATTTGCAGTTTAGCAGAATTCGCAATTCTTCTTGCGTTTGAAAGCAGTTTCCTCCGAATTTGGGTTTAAAATCTGTGCAGAATATGCTTCGCATATGAAAATTTTGTTATTTTTCCGTTCCGTTTTTTTTTATTGAATATTTTATTAAAAGTAAATAAAAGCAATAATTTGAAGTCTGATGTGGTCTGATTGTCAATATTCCAATATGTTCATATAAATTCACCTCAAGAATATATGTATGTAGAAGCAGGGTGTTTATGTGAATTTGTTTTCAAATTCTTCAGTATTAGAAATTAGAAAGTTGAGAAATAAGATTTCAGAGAAGATTCAGTTAGTCTAATTTCATTGCGCAGATACAACTTACGGCAACTTTTTTACTCAACTCTTTCACGCAAAAAATACATAATATCTATAGATCTGATAGGCTTATTCTACAATTTGACTTCTTGATAACTCTTCCTTTTGATATTTGCTTCCAATACACATAACCTTAAGTTAAACGGAATATTTTCACTATACTTGTACTTTGGAACTTTTCGAATGATCTGGAATTGCTTTGATCGATTTCATTATAAGGTTGAAGTTTTTGTCAAGCATATATATTAGGGTCGGTCTCTTTGTTTTATCTTGTTTTATAATTTTTTTTTATTTCTCTTTGATGTGCATTGATGTTCGACGATGAATATCTCGTAAACGCTTAACTTAATCGAAAAATTATATCGATAATTTTTGTAGAGCAGAAAATTTCCAACAAGACTAATCGGTTTGCAATTTAAAATAATGTTATAAAACTCAAAAGAAAAAAGCACATTTAATATTAATAAAAATAATCACATTTCAACCAATTATATCTATTAAGCGGTTACTTTTACGAAAAACCGTTGGAGACCACTTTATAGAGCATTCAATTTCCTACAAAATTTATGAAACAAGAAATTTTTTTTTGGAAGCAGTTGGAGGCCAGATATGAATTTTCGATCTGACATTGAGAGAAATATAGAAAATTGTTAAGCGGATGACCTTTCAGTTACAAGAAAGAGCTCATACTTGGAGAGCCTTACTTAGAGGTGTCTATCAACTAATTTTTCAGAGTACGAAGCGAAAAAAACTCGTTGTTTTTACTTACCCTAATATAATATATATCACCAGAATAATTCACATAACCGGAACCGGAATAACTAAGATGCTTATTCAGTTAGATGATGGTCTTAACTCAACTAACTGCTCATTTGTCTAACTACTTTGTTGTATTTTATGGTAAGTATAACTTTAATTGGGAATTGCGCGGTTTATATTGTTCTTGGTCATTATTTTAAATCAATACTTACTGATTAAGGATTTGCTAGTCACTTGAAGTCATATGAGTATTAAATCGCACTGAGTAATATACAGGTGTAGAAATATACTACAATATATAGAATTTAGGTGTGATACTGGTCATAAGCCAAGCTTTAAAAAAAGAGCTAACCTAATTTCATTTTATTAACACTTTCATAAAAAGGCTTTATAAGTCTTGGGAATCAGTAAAAATATGCAGCTTTTTTACCATCAACGGCTGTATACACCAACTTTTATTTCTATATTTTTATAACTTGACTAAGATGTATGCATATTTAAGCTTACAAATCCGCATAAAACTTTCTTGGGCACAATGACATGAAACGCTTTGGAATATGTACTTACAAATGTATATATAACACTCTAACTATTCAAATAAAATCGCCTTTGTTAATTGCCAGTTGTTACAACCAACTCGCTACAAATACTGTATGCATTTATATATTAAATATCTAAGCATAAACATAAAATCCAAGCTATTCAGGCAGACTGGCGATTCAATCTCCAGACACAGATGCCAACTGCATTCAAGAGAGTAAAAAATTTATAGATAAATATGTACTTTATAGCCATAATAGCTGTTCATCGGGACATCTCCCATCAAAATGTACAGTTATTGTATTTACATACGGACAAGCATTTATGCAAACAAAGCAGTGGCATTCAGTAGTGTCTGCATAACTGCCTAATTTATATGCAGTTATGAAGCGTTCATAATTCTCTTTGCTACACTCGTTGCACGCGCACCACAACCAACTCAAAAGACTGCTTCGACGTACTTCTTCTTCTTCGTGTTAGAAATATACGCCCAGCTTATTTGCATAGATTACATAGAATACATTTGACAGGCCGTTGGTGAGACGTCAAAGCGTCAACTATGCAACGGTCACCAAAGGCTACGCTGTTATACAGTTGCTGTTGTTGCTGTGAATGCCTTTTTCTTTTGCCATGGCGTTGACTGGTGTCAGGTATGTGGCGCATTTGACTACTTGCGGCCTTACTCGTCTCACTGTCAATCGTACACGCTCGCCTCGTCGACCAACTTCTATGATTTTGATGAGCGTTGGATAGCGGAAATGTTGAATAAATTCGTTTTTATTTGCTGTTGTTACTTATTTGTTATATGTTGTTGCTTGTTTTTGATGATTTTGTTGTTGTTCATGATTAGTGTGATGACTTTGTTTGGTTGTTAAAAATTTTACTTGTCCTACACTGCTTGTAAATAGTGTTTGTATATAATTTAGTTTTATTTCTTTTAATTTGTTGTTTTTTTAACAGAGTGTTTGTTGTGTTTTTATTTGCTGTAGATTTAGTTGATATATATTTACATTTTTTGTTAGACAATCTAGTTGCAGTTGGTCAATTTGTGTGATAGACAACAGTAAATTAGAAAAGCAGTAAGTTAGCGTTAAGAAATTTATTTTAGATTTTGTGTATTTGTACATTTATATCGCCTGCATACATAACTAAGGCCAGCTGGCGTCTTCGTTAAACTACTTCATACTTTTTACTCTCAAATTTGGTTTAGATTTTTCGTTACCCTCTACAACTGTGACCTTTTCTCCAAACCTTACATACTTGTTTTTGTTTCTGCCTTCATCTGACATCTAAAAATTAGTAGTTATTTAATTGTTCATGACATTTGTGTGAAATAGATGAATAGATATCTACTAGTTGTGGAAATATTTTAGTAAATACCTCTTCTGTGTTCATCGAATGTTTATTAATCCACCAATTAATGCGCTTATGCAGCTTAGATTTTTGTCTAAATTGTTACAAATGTAGGGAAGTGTTTATAAATTTCAAACTTTTTAAATTTTTTCTGCCTTTCGATTGTATGCCATACTTCAACAAGCAATATTCCTTTTACTTCAAAACCAAAAAAAAAAAAAAAAAATTGACCGAAAATTTGTCTCCATTTACAACAAAATCTCTGGCTTTTATTAGCTTTCAACTTGATGGAGTTCATAGATTGCTTTCGATGTCCTCACCAACTCTCGTGGTAGACCAGAGGCTAGAGATACTGGATTTGATATTTTTCATATCTCTTTAAACACAAAACTTCAACTGCTTTAAAAATCTTCAGTTTAAATATAACCGCTTAATCTGAAAAGAGACAGAGCTTTTGACTGTGAACGTAATAAATAAGTTTTCATAAGGCTTGTCTAAAAGTAGTATAGTCATAAAAGTAGTATCAACCATATTATAAATTATTTTCTCGTAGTTTTCTATAGAACATCATTATATTGGTAGATCTTCCTCACGAGATAGCCAAAAAATAGTAATTTAAAAGTTACTTTTATGACAATTTTTATATTAAATACCTTCTAATATTGAACATTTCGGGGCTACCTTCCGGTAGTCGGCCAACAATTTCATTGACGATCTCAAAACACTCCGTTTAAACAATTTTTTTAATTAAATAAAATATAATTAATTTATTTTTTACCAAAACACCCTTCTTATAATATTCTCATATGTAAGTACCGAAAGCTATTCACTAAATCTGACACCAAAACCCCAACCGGCGGTGTAACTTTTCGTAGCCAGCAGAAAAGGCCAGACACAACAAATAAATGATTTCATTGTTACGAGCCAAACAAAGTCATTGCTTAGTCAATTTTTAAATGGTTGAAGGCAAAATATGCCATTCATAACCACAACTACAAAACAATAGCGGAGTGACCAATAAAAGATCGGAACTGACAGAGATCAAAGTGAAACCGCACATTACAAGCCGAACGCAAAAGAAGAAATGCTAAGCCACAGCCAAGCCGAACGACCGAACAGCAGTCGCTGAAAATGGCTAATAAAGAAACTAGAACAATACTTCATAACTATGCCGCAATCAATTATAGGCATTTATATTGACTACCTGTAATTTAGCTTAGCCACGATTACATTGACAAAAATATCAAAGCAACAGCGCGAGCAGCCCGAGATAGAGTCGCCGGCATAGCCGCAGCTCTAGCCGCCAGAGAAAAAGAAACTAAAAGTATAGCATCGAGTTGAAAGTGGTCTAAGGAGCAGCGTTGTATGGCTAAATGACTGTGCCGAAGAACAGAAGAATAGAACGGAAGCGACGGAAGACCTTTGGGCAATAGCTAAATAATGTACTACAACAATAATAAAATAGGTAAGCGATGCTACGCCGTGGCATGTGGAATTGTTTGTTGCTGGGCGTTACAACGGCAGCAGCAACAACAACAGCAGCAACGAGATATATGTATTGTATATCCCTTCAACACTAAAAATGGCAAAACAATGAGTACGGCGATGCTCGAGTCACATACCTTACAAGATCGCTACTCCAACGAGTTGGGTATTTAGCGACACAGCCAGAGAAAAAAAAGAGCGCAAGGGGCCGCCGATATCTGTATTTATTGTATAATGCGGCATGCAACCGTGTAAAGAAGATTTCGTTGAAATTAAAAACATATCATCAGGTGGCATGACAATTAAAAAATAAATAAAAACGGCCACCACAATAAGTAGTACGCTGACAACCACAAACCCGAAAAAAAACACAAAGCTAGCAAAATTGAACATTGCTGCCGACAGCCGTAAGCCAAGCGACCGCGCAAGATCTGAAAAGTAAGCCGCAGCCGCCACACACACACACACACAAACGACTAACCGAACGCTGGGTCGACCGTACGAGCGATCGTCGCAGTGATCTTCTGCACAACGGCGATAAAAATCACATATACGTGGTTGCCACCACGTACAGATTGCAATAGAAGTGTACAATGGCAAATACCATATCTAGAAATGTTAAGTAAGAGAGCGTGCGCGGCAGGAGCGGCATTAAGCGTTGAAGGCTACTTAAATCGTTACAACGATTGCTGATTGTCGATCACTGATCGTCTTGTCGTAGTTC